ACGACACTGAATCCGACTTCAACTATGTCATAACGTTCATCGATGCAGCAACAAGATATGTTTGGCACTACAACCTCAAGACGAGAGACCAAGCCTTCGAAGCCTTCACGACGTGGCTTCCCATCGCTGAACGAGAATCAGGAACGAAGCTCAAAAGCTTCCAGTCAGACGGCGCAATGGAATACCAGTCACAACGCTTCATGACCTACTTGGCGGAAAGAGGAATCAGACGCTTGGTGTCCCTGCCCTACGCTCACCAGCAGCAGGGGGTCGCAGAACGAATGAACCGGACCTTGCAGACGACGATGCGAAAGCTGCTCCTGGGGATGAGACTGCCCAACACACTGTGGCCAGACGCGGTCACACATGCAGTCCACCTACACAATCTGTTGTCATCGTCATCGCTTCCCAACAACGCATCACCGCACCTGCTGTGGACACGAAAAAGGGGCAGCACAAAATTACTTCGAGTTTTCGGCTGCATGGTACAGTACAAACCCCACACAGCCCGAGCAGAACGCTTCACTCAACGTGCACGGTGGGGATTACACCTCGGCATCGCCAAACATTTTCACGTATGGAAAATCCTCGACATACAAGACAAAAATACGGTGGCATCACGTGATGTTATCTTCTACGAACGACTGACGCTGCAGCATTACCTGGACAACATTGCCAACACACACGACCCCACCGACGGCCTCGCGCGCCTTCGTTCCTTCGCCGACCGTGCTGCCGAGGCTGACGCAGCAGAAGAAGACGTACCTGGAGCCTCGGAAGCTGCCGGACCACTCCCTTTTTGTTCCGTACCTGTTCCAATCGACGAAGACAATCCTCTCGATAGCAACAACCTCGACACCCTCTACCACTTCGTTGACCAAGGTTACCCTACACCTCACCCGGTCGACACGAATAACTCAGAACGCATCGGCCCCAACTTCTTACCTGATCTAGAAGATGGTGACGAAGCAGCCTATTCCGGGAATGAAAATTCCCCTCGACACACACCCACGGGACTGCAAATCCTCGGCTTATGGGTCTCCATCCAGCACCCACCGCCGCCATCTCCGCGCGAGCCAACGACTCTGTCGCAGGCTCAGGGGGGGGAACATAAGGCGAAATGGAAGGAGGCAATGGAAAAGGAACTGAAAGCTCTGCAAGACTGAAACACATGGAAGCTGGTACCTGCAACGAACGTAAACGGGAAGAACGTTCTCTCGGGAAAATGGGTGTACCGCATCAAGACCAATGCGGTTGGCTCCATCGAATGATTCAAGGCTCGCTGGGTTGTACGAGGATTTGATCAACGATATGGAACCGACTACACAGAAACATTCGCCCCAGTCTCTCGTCACACCTCCTTGCGCATCCTACTCGCCGTCGCGGCCACAAAGAAACTACCACTGCGCCAGATCGACGTCGCAAATGCCTTCCTGTACGCACCTGTGGACGCCGAAATCTTCGTCGAGCAGCCCCACGGATTCATCGACGACCCCACAAAAGTATGCCAGCTGATAAAATCCCTTTACGGGATCAAGCAAGCCCCGCGGCTCTGGCAGCAGCATCTTCACGGTCGCCTCGTCAGAATCGGATTCCTACAGCTGCCGCATGACCAAGGCATGTACTGACTGCAGAAGGGAAGAGAGTATATCCTACTCATCGTTTACGTCGACGACCTGCTCTACATCGGTTCCACTACCGACATCGCCACCTGGTTCGAAGGGGAGCTGAAAGGGGACTTGACACTCACGGTGTCCGACACAGTGACCCAGTACCTGGGTCTGAATGTCGTCGAAGACAACTCGGCGTTCTACCTATACGCTAGAAAGTACGCAGGCGTTGTCGCAAAGAAATTCGGACTAACACCAACTACAGTCGTGACTCCCTACCGCTACGGGAACAACAACGACACCTCCGAAAAACTCCCCGCGAAGCAAATCCGGGAGTATCAGCAGAAGCTCGGCTGCCTACTATTCGCAGCAGTAACCTGCCGACCTGACCTATCCTACAGCGCAAGCCAGCTGGCGACGTATCTGAAGCAGCCGGAACAAGAAGATCTCGAAGAACTAAACCGGGCACTACTCTACTTCGTCTCTACGCCGACGACCGGACTTACCTACAGCAAAGTAACAACACCATCCGTACAACTACTCGGATACGTCGACGCCGACCACGCGGGGGACAGGGAAAATCGACGATCGAGAACGGGCTACATCTACCGACTAGAACCTATCGGGACTATCTCCTGGCAGTCGAACAAACAGGAACTAATTGCACTATCTTCGGCTGAAGTCGAATATATCGCCCTCTGTACTGCGACCAAGGAAGGACTCTACTTGCGAGAGTTGCTCGAGGAAGCGAAGATTGCGACCCTGCCCGTCTTCTCACTCCTCTGCGACAACCAATCTGCGATCAAAATCGCGAACAAGGACGGCTTCGCCAACCGAACCAAGCTCATTGCCCTGCGGTACTTTTTCGTCAAAGATGAAATCGCGAAGGGGAGACTTCAACTCAATTACTGCCCTACGACAGAAATGGCCGCAGACTACCTGACGAAGAAACTGGCGAAGGCAAAGTTCGATCACTGCATGCTGCTGACCGGGCAGACAAACGTCACCGGATCTGAACACATCAGCACTCCAGAAACGAAGGGGAGTGTTGGAAATACCTCAAGGACTTAAGCGTTTATGAAGTGTAACACCACACTCGAGGAAGGTCGTAACGGGCACGCGAGTCAACGGAGGTTACACGAGGGGATGGACAAACAACACGAAAGGACTCGAAGGGTCGCAACTGGAGGTTGCGACTGACAGTTACAACTGCAAAGATGGTAACCGAAGCGACAATCAAGTCGCTGTGCGACTCGATAAACCGCCCTTTCAACAGTATTCTACAACTGCTTTACTTTCCCATTTTCTATATTTTGTTGTATGCTTGTTCTTTTAATCAATCACTTGTTCTCATATACTAGTACAAGGGTTCAACTACCTCAACTTCCGCTGCACTACTCAAGTCTTTTAGAACTGGGACTTAGTCTCTGGAAAGATCCTAAGGGCATTTCTCAGCCCAACAGCTGCTCGTACACACCGGAACGCAAACATTGGACTGTAGGTTTTGAATCAACAGACGGTTATGCGGACCCAAGCCGAGATATGACGACCACGGGGAGTGACCACACCAGAACTAGAGCTGTGTGACATGCTAAAAAACCAAAGCATATGTATCTGACCATTCATGTGCTGATGGCATACGTGGTTATGCTCTTGCACGCTCTACTGTAAAGAGTGTTATTCATTATCGATGCACTCATGACGATAACTTTTACATTCGTTCGATCATACAGTTCGGTATGGGATTATACACTGTTATACTGGATTGCGCATAGAATATAAGTCCCTGTGACGTAAACAAGGCAAGGTAACACTTGCCTGGTAATGCTACCATAACGATATCATGGACGTTCTGATGGTGTAGAGTGATGCAAGTCTTTCGCAGCCGATGTTCCAGGTTATTTTCGAACAATTGATGTATCATTCCTTAAATTTTGGCGTTTGGCAGGTAATGCATCTTTCTGTGCCAGCTCGGATAATAATATCTGGAAAAGGACTCCGATTCCAATTGAAAAGCCCACCAGGTTGTGTCACGAGCTCTGGCCTTTCCAGATAGCTTTTGTCCTTCCACACGCTTGATGAGCTGGAGTTTGTGCCTTTCTTCTTTCAGCACAATTCCTGGTAACTTCCTTGTCTCGTGCAAGGGGGTTTTATATGATGGTTGTCTCATGTGTCGATCAAATATCCCGGATTTGCTGGAAATACTTTGTGGCACTTGCTCCCCGTCAGGTCACGCGCAGCTTGCATGGAAAATCAGGAAACAGAAGCACTTGCCCGTCGTCAGCTCACACGCAGCTTTTCCTGGACAGGAAACCGAAAGCTGTGGCACTTGCTCCTCGTCAGCCCACGCGGAGGAAACAGTGCGAGCCAACGACTTCAGCTGTGACTTCTGAGCTGACCCGTGGAATCTTGAATGCCTAGAATAGTACTTACAGGGCCCGTTCAAAATTTAAAGCCCTCTTTTAAGCAGCAGGATGCTTAGAAATCTACTCGAAGGCAGGCTTACGCGATGAGAACAAAGTGCTCGCTAAACATGCAATTTAATATTTACCTGAAGGCTATGGTACATGTCATGTTTGTGTACTCCTGGTTTCTGGGAGAAATGGAACAACCTCCAAATTCTGAACATGCAGAAGTTTGGGAAAAAGAAAGGTCCACACAAAAGTTTGTTCTGCTGCCGAGCGTGTAAGCCACATTCAGGCACACCATCTGCTGAACGTGTAGTCCAGTGTAGTCCAGCCAGTTCCGTCCGACTTCAACCGTACAGTACCACGTTTGATCTTCCGTTGCTGTAAGATTTGGGTGTCGCGCATCGTGGTCTTTTGTGCATGCATCTCAGCGCTTCCCTGAGTTGGAGGGCCACTACGTGACTGACACTTCAGCTTCCTTATGACTGCTAGATATTTCGGCACAAGCCTTTTTGTTTCGTAAGATTCCACGACGGGCAGTCAATTTTGAATTCCTGCTCGTACAGAATGGTACAGTACAGTGCTGTCGTGCACCCCCTGCTTCACCAGCAGCATTGCCCTGCCAAGTGCCCGTTTCCCCAACCAACCAGCACAGCTGCTTACAAGCTTGTACAGCAGCATCTCCGCCTCCCCTCTATCCTCTCCCCCCACCCAACCCAACCTCTCCCTGTCCCCCACAATACTCCCTCCCCCCGCAAACCATTCCCCTCTCCTCTCTGGGGCTCGGGACCAAACCAATACTCCCTCCCCGCTCTCCCCCCTGCTCCCCTTCCTCGTCCCCTCTGCTTCATGACCTTCTCCCCCACGCTTTCCCCAATAGCTGCCCTCCTGGCTCTCCTCTCCACCACCACTCCCCTCCCCTCCCTCCCCACCCACCGGTTCGCATTTCTACTCTCACCTCCCACCTTTTCCACTCAGTTGTTTTTCCTAAACTATCTGACTCAGCTCTGGTTCTATTTAGTTCTCCTGAGTTACCTTTGCATTGTCATTCTCGTGATCGGTCGTTTATTGTCGCGCAATAAATCCTCGCAATCCCACGTACATCGCAAATGTGTCGTCCGCCGGAATCCGGAGTTCCTGCGGGAGCTGCATCTTCAGGAGCTAACTTCGTATCTGAATTACCCGCACACGCGCTTAAGGCTGCGGAAGCAGTCAATAATTCAAACGCTCAACAGGCCTGGGCGTGGAACGGCATGGTTGGAGCAGGGCTTCCGAATGGACGCTTTCAGGCGGTGCACGATGAGCCGAAGGCCACTTTTACTGCTGCGCAGTGAGTCTGGTTCGCGTTGACTATAGCTCCTGTCATCTACTCGTCCATGGTTTCATTGTGGTTGCTTCTTCTCGGTTCTTACAATCCCCACCTGTTCTCGCAGGCTTCAGCCGCACGGCCATTTTTTCCCCACCATGGCGAACTCGCAGCTCCACCAAGCAGCATCGCAGCAGCAGCATTTTCAACAGCAGCTGCAGATGCTTCAGCAGAAACAGCAGCTGCAGCTCCTGCAGCAACAGCAGCAGCAGCAACAGCAGCTGCGACTGCAGCAACAACTGGCCCAGGCGCAGCCGACGGCTTGGAATCCGATGAAGGGACTCATTCAGGCGGGGTCTCAGGAAGAGCTGCAAAAGCAGTTCCACGGCTCGTTGGTCCCGTCTTGGCCGCAGCAGGTAGTTCCTGGAGGGAGCCTCGAAGCCTGGGCGAAGTCGTCAGGAGCAGCTAACATCGCTCCGCGACCCGTTCAGAGTGCATCAGGTCCGGGATTCGGGTTCAGCTCCTATCCTGAAACGGATCCTCATAACGCGGAGGAGGATGACGAGGAATTGGATGAGAAGAAGTACAAGCGGTAAGATAACATTCTCACCCGGCACTTTCGCCTCCTTGTCAGTTTTTGAGCCCATGAGGGATTCCCGTGTAGTGACGTCATTCCTTTCCCCATCCGAAGCACGACAATTTACCCTTTCTCCCCTTTTTTTTCCTGCAGAATGATGTCTAACCGCGCATCCGCGAAGAGATCGCGGCAGCGCCGTCAGGTGCGGCTGGAGGAGCTCGAGATTCAGTCCGCGAAGCTCAAGATGGAGAACGCCGCCGTGCAGCGCCGGCTGACCGAGGCGACCGACAAGATCCGCCGCTTCCAGGACCAGAACGCGAGCCTGGAGCGCGAGCTGAAGCGGCTCCGGAGAGAGCTGGACGATTGCACCGGCGGCGGAAGCCACGCCGGAGCGGCGGGGTCGACTCTATCGCAAGACAGCAAGCCATCGTCGCCGGGGAAAGAGTCTGGTCTTTCGTCCCCGCGCACTGCTGTCACAGATGTGCAGGCTGGGGAGGAGACGAATGGATCGGGTAAGCGAAGGAGGCCGGAGGACGACGCCGCAGGTGGTGAGGATTCGCCAGATGCCGTGCTGCTTCCGACCGCTGGCGGTGTTGTGAAGGCTGAAGCGCTCTTTTTGGGCGAGCAGAATGACTATGAGACGACGGATGAGGATGAGTCCGATTGCCAGCTCTCCGACTCTACTGCTGCCATCCCACCTGCCGCTGACGCTCCAGCTGCTTTGCCTGATGGCAAGGGGAATGCTCTTGCTGCTGCCGGCGGGTATCAGATGATGGGTCGGGACATGGACGTGGCGGATGGAGAGTTCTTTGCCACTCTGATTGATTGCTTCGATGGGAAGCCCATGGATGCCTTCCTTGTGTGAAGGAAGAACTGTGCGGAGGTGCAAATGGCACTTGCATGTACATGATTCCCAAGGCCCACTAATAAGAGGACAATCTGGCAGGGCAAAAACTATAGGAGTAGGCATGAGTCGTGGAGGCTATTGCCTATGTACCACATTTTTTTACTTGATGGGCAAAAACTAATATGTTTCAGATCATTTTTAAAATGCCTTAAAAATTTTAAGCTAGTACTTCATATTTGATATGATGAGAATATGACGATGTTAGAGAAAGGTGATACTGTTTCGCACACACCCCTTCGTACCTTTGGAGAGCAGCAAATTCGCACTGCAGCACAAAACCCCAGCAGACAGCTAGAAGCAAGTCTGTCTGCACTACATCAGACTCTGCCTGCCAAGGATCTGACGCTCGTGGCAGGGTTGTCATCTGCGGCGGCTCCTAGTGCCAGCTAGTGCATAGCTCATGAGTGTTCGGTTGAGGAGTATTCCGCCCTGACGCGGTTAGCTGTGCGTCTTTCCGCTTCCGCGTCGTCATCTTCTCCTGCCTTACCCAGCCGCATCACCAACGTTCGGTAAGGTGAGACTAGACAAACGGACGCCATTAGTGTATTAGTAGCGGGTTACGATTCTACAGCGCGAAGAGGCGGCCGCCGAAAAGGGAAAACGATTTGCGAGGTGTGACTGATGGTCTTGTGTGTTGCGACCCCTGGTCACCTGGTGCGCTTCTTGAGCAACTCTGTCCGCCTGCGTCCACATTTTCTAGCAGCTTTTCGCGTCGTTGTAGATGTCGGAGTTCACTTCCGGCCTATGCGATCTCGCCGAATCTATTCGCCACCCGCCCTTGATGTCCCGTTTATCGTCCTGCTTCTTCCTTGCTCGCATTTGCCAGGCATCCGCCAGACCCTCTCACTCGTCTTGTGTTATTTATCTCGTGTCCCTTTCCCTGCACTCCAGCCGCTTGTGTTGTGAGGCACGGAGGGGACGACGCTTGGAAGGAAGGCAGGTGAAGGATTTATCGTGAGGGTGGTAGGCGCCAGCTTCGGAACACGGGCTGGAAGCAGACTCGCACCACGAGCCACAGCAGTAAGCGTTACTGGAAGGATTAACAGACTCAAATCAGCAACAGACACGTGGCGCATTACGATCCACCAGCATGTCTCGTCGACTAGCACAGCAGGTGGCAGGCATCGGCTTCAGCAGCCTCAGCCGAGCCTTTCAGCCTGCTGGGCCATCCCTAGGTGCAGGCTTCCCAGGACCTCTACTGGAGGTGCTCTCCCAGCACGCACCGCCTGCAGGTGCATGGTCGCTCGTGCAGCAGCGCAGCGCCACGAAGAAGGCCATGGGGTCCACTCAGAATGGCCGAGACTCGCAGCCCAAGCACCTGGGAGTCAAGAAGTCCGGCGGACAGGTGAGGGGATGAGGCGTCTTGTCACAAGCTGCTGCCTTTTCACGCATTCTGCCTGTTCACCCGTCCTTGTGTCCCTTTCTTCTTGCCCCTCTGTCCCCCCCCAACTCACCCTTGCCTCTCCCTCCCAACCCCCACCCACCCTTGCCCACCCCTTCCCTCGCCCACCCTTGCCCTTCCCGCTTCCTCCTCCTCACCACGTTATGGTACCCCAAACCAGGGAGTGGTGGCTGGCAATATTATTGTGAGGCAAAGAGGAACCCGGTTCTACCCTGGGGACTTTGTAGGCATGGGGAGAGACCACACTCTATTTGCTCTCAAGGATGGCCGAGTGAGGTTTGAGACGCGCTTCACCCCCACTGGCTTCCAGCGCAAGTATGTTCACGTTGATCCAAACGGGGGTGCGCCTCTTCACCCTGCCCTGGCTAACCTCAAGGGGATGATTGAGGGTTTGGAGCAAAGGAAGAGAGAAATCATGGCAGGTAAACTAGAGACCACTAGACAATGAGTAGCATTCGAGCCCATGTAGGTGATGAATGGAATTGTATTCACTATTGATGAGAATTACTGAACTATTTGACCTTGTTCAGGACAATTGGGGTGGCTCACGCCAGTTGCGCCTGATTGGTCCCTGACCTGCCTTCGCTTCGGTGCAAATGACAACCACGCAAATCCACGAAGCTGTGTTTGTGCGACTGTCACTTCGCGCACCATTCTCAAGGGATTTCGATACCTGGCGCGACGTTCGCCAGGCGTTACAGCGACATTCCCGAAGCGAACGCAGCGAGCGACATTATCCATTTTGCTCCCACCTCAACGGTCATGTCTCCCCCCAAACCAAACCAATCAGAACCAAACCAAGTCAACCCCAACCAAACCTGCCTGGGCATTTTTTAGATCATCAGTTCTGTAGAGAAGCAGACCACATCAGTAACAGCCGCCATTGATCAGCAGGGTGAGCGCGGGGCAAGCCAGGTTCCGCAGTCTTTCTCAAGGCAGGTGCCTTGTTTTTCTCTCCGCATTGCTGAGGCGGAGCTGCGTAGTTGTGTGCCACGAAATGGCAGGCGGTAAGGGAGGGAGGAAGAAGAAGAGCAAAGGAGGGTCGCAGGGAGGTGACGGAGGAAAGACTCCTGGACCAGTTGCAACATCCGCAGCAGCCGTGCCAGCAACAGCTGAAGCAACAGCCGCGTCAGGAGTAGCCGCAGCATCTGACGCTCGCAATGGCCCGTCAACTGCAGCAATTCCTTCAGCCACCCCTCCCTCGGCTGCCGCAAAACCCGCCGCGTCTCCCGCTCAAAAATCCGCTCCGGTTTCTTCATCAGCGACCGTAGCAGGAACGTCCGCCGCCGGCGGGGCCGCTGCTCCGTCTGGCGATGGCGTTTCCGTTAAGAAGGCGACAGGGAAAGCAGCACCTTCCGCGAAAGTGGGATCCGCCTCAGCTTCTGCATCTGCTTCTAAGGCGTCTGCTAAGGCTGCCGACGCGGACGAGGATGTGAGTTATTGACGAGGATGTGAGTTACTGACGAGGATGTGAGTTACTGCCGAGGATGTGAGTTACGGACGAGGATGTGAGTTACTGCCGAGGATGTGAGTTACGGACGAGGATGTGAGTTACTGCCGAGGATGTGAGTTACAGACGAGGCTTTCGTAATGGAAAGGTCCCTCCCTCGCCGTTCCTCGTTTTGGGCCCCTTGTAGCATCCTTCCTCCCTCTTGATGCCCGTTTCAGCTCTGTCCCAAAACCCCTGAACCCTCATTGCACCCTTTTGAAGATTTCTCCCCTGCGTGTGTCCCACGTGCCTGCATCATGAACCTGAAGGCCGAGCGGAAGGCAACCAGCAGTTCCAAGCGCGTACAGTGCCCTTCCTCCCGTCTCCATCCGTGCTTCAGCTGCGTTTCAAAACCCCAAACCCTCAGCCCTGCGCTTTCTCCCCTGCGGGTGTTCCATGCACGTGCCATGGACCTAATGGCGGAAGGCAACCATCAGTATCAGGCGCATGCAGAATCCTTTCTTGCATAGCAGCCATGATATCCCCCAATCCTGTACCTTACTCTTCTGCAGGTGTTCCACGCGCGTGCCATGGAGCTCAAGGGGGAGGGCAACCAGCATTTCCAGGCGCGCGAGTATGCAGCAGCCATGGAGCGATACGGCAAGGCCATCAAGCTTCTGCCCGCCACCCACACTGATAGAGCCGTTCTGCACAGGTGAGTCAGTCAGGGTGCTTTTGAAACGCTTCTGAAGCAGTACGCAGCAGCCATGGGGAGATTCGGCACGGCCATCAAGCTGCTGCACCGCCAATCACGCTGGTAGAGCCCTTGTGCACAGGTGTGCTTTAAAGACGTGCCGAAGTGCATCTCACATCTGAGAGGTCGTCTCACTGCAAGTCGCCTCAAAGAGCACAAGATGCCTCCGGTTGGCTTTGCTTGCAGACGAGGAACGCAACGTGGGGTGGGAGGTTTGCACAGGCATCTTATATCCGTGTTAAAGAGTAGCACGAGTTTTCGGAACGAAGCACGTCTCATTCCCTGTTCCGCCATCCCCGTTCACCCCTCTTCTCCCCACTGTTCGTTTCACAGCAACCGCGCCGCATGTCTCCTGCAGATGCGCCCAGTCGAGTATGAGAGGGTGAGGGAGGAGTGCGACATAAGCCTCTCCCTCAACCCGGGCTTCTCCCGGGCGCTGCTAAGGCGGGCCAAGGCGCTGGACGCGCTGGGAGAGAAGGATAAAGCCGAGGCTGACGTGGACGCTATTCTCAAGGTGAGCGAGGTGTTTGCTGACGTGGATTGTGGTGCTATCGGGGTGAGAGTAAAGACGAAAGGTTAATGGGCTTCGCACATTTTGCATTTCCCTTGTCCTGGATTTTCAATCTCTCTTTTATGGTGAAACTTCTGGGCCTGTTTGAACTGAGCCATCCCTTACATCACAGCCATCCATTTATCAGAGCCATCCATTCATCACAGCCATCCATTCATCACAGCCATCCATTCATCACAGCCATCCATCATAGCGTCCACGACAACCCCTGTCATGACTCCCACTCATAACCCATCCCCATCCCCATCCCCATCACCTTCCCCAGGCGGAACCCACCAACCAGGACGCGTGGGAGATCAAGAGACGGCTGCAAAAGCTGAAGGCAGCTGCTGCCAGCAAGCAGCCCTCCTTCCTCGCTGCCTCTGCCTCCGCTGTATCCTCCTCGTCCCCGCCCCTCTCCACCACCCCCCAAACCATCCCCACTGCTTCCACCCCCTCTGTCACACCATCCCCATCCACATCTGTTCCTACCCCTGCTATTGCCAACCAAGCAACAGTGGCACAGGCCTCCCTTGATGAAACCCCATCTTCCTCCTCTCCTCCTAAACCCACGGCTAAGGCCTTGAGTGCTGGTTCGGCTGCTGGTTCGGCCTCTGGTCCGGCTTCTGGTTCGGCTGCTGCTCCGGATTCTGGTTCGGGCTCTGGTCCAGATGATGGTTCGGGGGGTGGCATGAGCCACATGCCGCAGCTGCCGCCCAGAAAAAAGCCGGCAGCAGCGGAAACAGGGGCAGAGGCAGCCGCAGGGGGGGCTGGAATGAAGGGGGACGGACAGACCAAGGCTGGGAGAAAAGGGGTGTCGTCTGTAGGGGCAAGGAGGGGAGGAGGCGGAAGAGGAAAGGGGCGAGTGGAGATGGTGAAGGAGAAACGGGTAGTGATGAGAAAGGTGGTGAGGAAGCGAGTGCAGCGGGTGGTGAGGAGGCGCAGGGAGGAGAGGCGAGTGCCGACGGTGCGGGTGAAAGTGACCCTGGCGACGGGCAGAGACACGAGGCTGGGCCAAATGCCTGTGGGATGTGGGTGAGTCTTTGAAGGGTGGAACTGGTTGCAGGGTTTATGAGTGTTTGCAGGATGGTTACCGGGTGTGTAGTGCTTGCAGGGTGGGAGTGACACTGGCCATGGGCAGAGACACGAGGCTGGGGCAAATGCCTGTGGGATGCGGGTGAGTGCTTGCGAATGGGAAGTGCTTGGGAGGTTTATGTGTGTTTGCAGGGTAAAACTTTCATTTGAAGCTGGTTTGAATCAATTCGATTGTGTAATGGAGCACATGCCTAGTGTGTGCTCGTCGCCATTGCTCCCCTCGCCTCCCCACTGCAGGTTTCAGCAGCTGCTCAGAATCGTTGGTGCCTGCTTCCCCCATTTAAACGGCAAACCCTTGCTCCTTCACTACACCGATGCCGAGGTGAGGCTGGTGCCACACTTTATGCCCCGAACTTGCAGAGGTGATTAAAGGGTGCCTTTTTTAGTGCCTTGAAACGTGATACTGCTGTCAGACTGAAACACTCATGCAAGGTTACCCTGGGATTATCCTCAGCCTTCAAGATTCTCCTTTTAGGTAGAAGTCTTTTGTTACATCCTGTCCGTGGCTCTCCATAGTGTCACACTCATTGGAGTGGTCATCCACTCAACCCTACCTCTCAGGGTGACCTCATTACAATCACGTCCAAGGAAGACATTGCAACTGCGCTCAGCATCTCAAGGGCTGCATCAGAGGCAGCAGCAGCATCAGTGCAGGCAGCAATAGCAGGAGCCGGGGCACGGGCAGTTGGCGCTGTATCACCGGCAGCAACAGCAGCGGTGGCAGCAGCTGCAGCAGCAAGAGAAGCAGCAAAGGCAGCAGCTGCTGCTGCAGTGGCGGCAGCAGATGCAGAGTCTGCACTTGCTGCGTGTCTAGGAGCTGCTTCTTTGGGTGCTGCTTCCTCGGGTGCTGCATCTCTCGGTGCTGCTTCAGCTGCTTCGGTGGTTGCTCCACCTGGTGCTGCCAGTGCTGCAGTGGCAACGGCTGAGGCAGCACAAGAGGCAGCGCCAGAAGCAAAGGTGGAGGCCGGGCCAGGAATGAAGGCTCAATCCAAGTTGGAAAAGCAGAGCGAATCTGAAGAGCTGAGTCAATCAGAATTAGCCGCCAAGAAAGCAAGTGACTTATCTGGTGATGGCGACAGCAGTGGGTTATCTGTGGGCACACCCTCTGCAACCACCACCACCACCACCACCAGCACTGCCCCTACCGTTGCTGCTACCATCACCATTTCACCCACCACAGCCATCACCACCAGCACCAGCAGCAGCAGCAGCAGCAGCAGCAGCAGCAGCAGCACTGCTATTGACACAGTGCTTCGGCTGCACGTGACGCCTCTGAGCCAATCAGAGCAGGTGCAGGCGCCAGCTGTACCTGCTGACGATGCTGACGTGGCAGAGGTGGAGTGGGAGGAGGTGGAGGAGGAGGGAGAGGAGGAGGTGGAAGTGGAAGAGGAGGAGGAGGTGGAGGAGGAGGTGGAGGTGCCTGTGAGTGTGCGGGAAGAGGGAGGAGAGGAGGGAAAGGAGGGAGAGGAGGAGGGGGAGGAGGATGGAGAGGTGGGAGAAGCAGACGGGGAGGAGGAGGAAGAGGGGAAAGAAGAGGGGGAGGAGGAGGAAGCACAGCAGGAGGTGTTGGTGGATTCGTGGATTATTCAGTTTGCCGACCTTTTTAGGGAGCGGCTGGGCATTGATTCGCTCGCCAGCTTTGACCTGGCGGATGCTGACGTGGCGGCAGTTAACAGGGCGCTGGAGGGGACGGTGGAGGCGGAGGAAGCTTCCGAGTTGCTGCAGCAGGCAGCTGCCAAGTTTCAGAGCATGGTGAGTTCGTGTGCGTGCGTACATGCGAGTATGTGTGCATGTGTGTTTGCAACTTCCACGCCAGTTCCCCACGTTCTCCACCCCCCTGCCTCACCCTTCCCTGATCGTTTACTCCCTACCTTTAAGCCCTGAGTATGTATTCAGCCGTTTCTCACGTGATCTGGGGCAGGGAGTTTCTCCCATTCGTCTGGCTGGTGACTCCAGTGTGACACCACGGCACCCCTCCCTCCCCCTTGCGCATCCCTCTCTCATCTCCCTACCTTTTTCCGCCTTCCCCCGTTTTCCCCCGTTTTCCCCCGTTTTCCCCCGTTCTCCTCCTTTTCCCCTACTTCCCCCTTTTCCCCTCTCCCCTCTTCCCCCATTCCCCCCCCCCTTTCCGCTCCCCCCCTTGCCCCCACGAGCAGGCAGCGGTGGCGCATCTCAACTGGGGCAACACCTTTGTCTGGATGGCTCGGCGCAGGCTCGGGCTCAAGCCTGCTCCCGAACCTCCCACCAAAGCCCCTGGCAGTGCCACCGCCGCTGCGGCTGGTGGTTCCTCTGGAGCTGCTGCCGGCTTGGAAGACATGAAAGGAGGCACAGAGAAAGGAGAGGTGGAAGAAGGAGAGAAGGGGGAGGTGCGAGGAGAGAAGGGGGCCGAAGAGGCAGACAAGGGGGGGATGGAAATGGACAAGGGGCGGGCGGAGAAGGAGAAGGAGGCGCTGCGGGAGATACGGGGAGACCCGGAGAGGAGGGCAGTGAAGGTGGGGGAGGTGGAGGCGGCCCGGGGGGTGCTGGAGCAGGCCCGGGAGAAATACGAGGCGGCTCTCACCGTGCAGCCCAACCTGCCAGATGTGAGTGGACTGTGGAAGACGTGGCTGACTTGGTTGAACCGGTTGACTTGCTTGACCTCGTTTACTTGGACTCCCTACCTCACTCCCTTCCTCTCCTCAGAGCGGCTGCTGGCTCTTGGGCCCGAGAAAGAAGCATCTCCAGCCACCCTTCAACCCCGCTTAAACCCTTTTTCACCTCAATCCCTCCTTCCTCCTCACCCTCCCTTCTTCTCCTTGCAGGCGCTGCTGACTCTGGGTCAGTGCTTTGTGGAGATGGCGCGCGCAGAGAAGTTCCTTGCCGTGCTAGAAGGGGGGGGGGGGGGAGGAGGGCGAGGAATAAAATTGCTTGACCCCATCCTGCACTTATTCCCATTTTCCATCCTCACCCCCTTCTTCCTTGCAGGCGCTGCTGGCTCTGGGTCAGCGCTTCGTGGAGATGCTTCTGTCGTGGGCCCGTGTTTCCCAAAGCCCTCCTTTAGTGGACCCAGCTTGATCCCTCCTTCCTCCTCACCCCCTTGGAGATGCTTCTTGCGGGCCCTGCTGGCTCCGGGTCAGTGCTTCGTGGAGGTACTGTTTCTGTTGCGCCCCCTCTCTCTTACTCCCATTGCCCTCCTCACCCCCCCCTCCTCCTTGCAGGCCCTGCTGGCTCTGGGTCAGTGCTTCGTGGAGATGGCGCGCGCAGAGGAGTTCCTTGCCGTGCTGGAAGGGGAGGAGGGCGGGGAGGGGGATGCGGGAGAGAAGGGCGACGAGGGAGACGAGGGAGGGAAGGGAGAGAATGGGGAGAAGGACAGTGAAGGGAAGAAGGGGAGTGATGGGGGAGAAGGGAAGCGGATGAGAGGAGTGCTGGAGTGTTTGTCTCAAGCAGAAGAGAAGTTCACTGCTGCTGTCAAGGTAGATCTGCTGCTGCTATTCAAGTCCCTTTCATGCTCACAGTTTTGGGTGGATTGTCATCGATGCTACACAGGTACATTCAAAGCAGTATTCTAGGCAGGTACATTCAAGGCAGTATTTTAGGCCGACTGCTATAGGCTAATCGACTGGGTGCTATCTTGCTCAGGCAGAATTGAGCTGGCATGTCCCTGCCGCCCATTCGTCTCTTGTCCGCACCCTTCCCCTTTTTCTGACAGGCGTGCGACACAATCGAGCAGGACCATTTGAAGCAACACGAAGCAGCAGCAGCAGCAGCAGCAGCAGCAGCAGGCGGGGAAGTAGAGGGGGAGATGGATGAGCATGAGCAAGCACATGGTGCCAAGCATGGCCATCCGGATCACAAGCATGGGCCAGGATGTAACCATGACCATGGGCATGGGCATGGGCATGGGCATGGGCATAGTCATGGGCATGAGCATAGTCATGAGGGTCACAAGCATGGGCCAGGATGTAATCACGACCACGACCATGGTCATCCAGGGGACCAGGATGGATTCCTTGCTGATGTGGCGGCATTCAGGCAGAATGTGAATCTCCAGCTGGCCAATTGCGTGTTTGACAAGTCTCAGGTCCAGGTGAGGGCGGCAGACCGGTTCTTCTGTTAGAGTCACCTATCCTCCAGGGATATCTTTTTGGATTCCTCAACCCCCCCCCCACCCTTCCTGACCCTCTCTCCCCCCTACCCAGTAACCCCTTCCCCCTCCCCCTTTTCCCTTTCCCCTTTCCTCCCCTGATGCCTGCTTGTGTGCTGGGCAGTTCAAGCTTTCTGACTCTGGATGGGAGTCATCCCTGGAGGCGGCTGTTGAGGCGTTCAAGGGCATGGGGGTTTCAGAAGAGGAGATTCAGCGTGTGGTTAGCACACATGCTTCTTCACAGGCAGAGGGGACATCTCTTCAGGCCTAGGTTTCGCCCATTAGTTTCCAGTTCTGTTGCATGGACGTATACAGTAGCGCAGTGATTTTTCTTCCACTTTGACTGCAGCCTCTAAATTTGGTAATTATCAGCCCTGTGATGGGAAAGGCTTCTATTTGAGCAGTCAGATCCTGCCAGCATTTACTCCAGGCACTTTTCATTGATACCCATGGAGGATAGTGCATGTTATGGTGGGATGGGATCTAATACTCTGTATTGCCCAACACGTTATATATGTATACTTGCAAATGAGGTGGAAAAAATACATCATACAAAACCTGCTCAAATAGGCCCCTTGTCAGGTGTCAGTGGTCCAAGGTAACGGCAATCAAAACAGAATACGAAACAGTGTAGCAGCCGCGTGTTCCCCATGAAGGCTAGGTATTCCTAACATGCCAAGAGGAAACGCAAAACTGAAACACCAACGAATATTGAACATATTTATAATGCTTTCTGAAGCGCTGGCTTCACCCGTTTCACCGGCACGCTGACGTTGTAGACGGAGCCCACCACTGGGTCCCTGGTCACTCTGAAGATAACGTCATCCTCGTCCTCCACAGCCACGTCCAAGAAATCACCCATGGCGGTCACGATGTCTCCGCACAGCTGCTTCTTTAGTCTCGGATGGAATTCCTCCCGGTCGCTGTAGAGCACTAGCCGCAATCTCTCCTTCGCCACCTCCGCTACACTGCATGACATAGAAAAACCGATGGTCAGATGGTCGGAGAGCGAACGGAGCGATTCACCCATAACAAACGGAGACACCAAGTACCTTGGTCCCTTTCTTCTTGTCGGAAACACGACTTGCCACGCTCTCGACAATCGGTGTGCTAAGGATGGTTGAGGAACAAAGTCGTCTTCCATCCAAGAGGCATTAGCTGTACGAAAGAAAATAGGCGCGAATGACACGGAATGTCAGTCCAACATCGAAGACAGAGAAAGGGAGCAATCAACGAGGAAGGATACATACGAACCAATCCGGCGAAAATAATAGATATCGTGAGGATGTTACACTAAATTCAACCACCGAAATGCTCCCATGGACCTACCGAAACAGCAGAAGGTACCAGATGCCCGTTGATTTGAAGCTTGTGTGGACGACGACTTTAGCTTAGAACCGCAAAACCTTTTTAGTCCACCGGCAGGGAGGCGACTCCCGTGTGACTGAAGACAGAAAAAACACGTCAGTCAGTAGGCTTGATAAGTCGTTGGACTAAGAGCTAATAACAAGAATCCTCCCACCCCAATACGCACTTTTGGAAAACGGCTTCTTGACGACGGCTTTTGCCCCGGAAGATTAACTAGGGGTCTAACGGATCGACTACCAACGGTTGACGCCATGTCCAACAGTGCGGTCTCAGCGTACAAGTTTACCAGCCAACCTAGAGGCCTAACCAGGAAGTCAGGGTTCAAATGGGGCTAAAATGTTTTGTACAGTATCAGGGAGAGGAGGATGAGGTGAAGTGCTGAGTGAGCTACAAGGGAGGGCGGAAACGAGGAGGGGAAGGAAAGGAAAAGGGGGAAAAGAAGTGAAGGCAGTCGGCAACTTCCCGCAAAGACTGCAGAAGCGCAGGCAAGCGCAAAAACCTAGGGGGATCCGCGAGCGGGGAGTGCGAGCGGAGAGGGGCGGAGGGTAGATGGTGTGTGTGAGGGTTTGGGTGGTTGGAGGGAACAAGAGGTTGGAAAATGGGATGGGTTTCCCGCCTCCTCTCGTCCTCTGCTTTGGGAGGAGGGCTCATCGAAGACGTACGTAGACGCAGCCTTCTCAATTCATATCCGTCGATTGGCCCCTGCTTCGTCACCTCACGTGGCGCCACAGCGGAAAGCTGACGCTTAACATGGCAGGCTTGAATCTGGAATCGCCAGCCAGTAAGCCTGCCATAATCCAACGTGGCGTAATCTCATTGAGCCTCACGATAACCGTGCTCCACCGAGAGTCCTTTCCGCAACTGTTTATTTCGTGGCCGCCCGCTGAGCGCGGTCCACGACTTCTTCCGGTGCTACAGTGCATAAACGCGGCTTGGGCAGCGAAAATCGAGGCTTCTGTAAATGATTTTATTCACTGTTATCATAATTTAAAACGGTATGCACCCAAAACTTCAATGCAATGCCCCTTCCGAGTACATTCTACACTCCCATCTTGTTTCATCAGTCGACGGCACAAAACCACACAATACATTCTGCACTGTACTGGATGCATTTTGCTTGTGGTGCTGCTGAGAGCGGTTGCCCAGGTCCGAGAAGTAGAAGCCCGAAAGGATCGATTTCGATTGCCGATGGGAGCGAATCGGAGGCAGTCTGGTTTCGGTGTGCACTGTGCATGCAGATCCGAAAATCACAAAAGGCAACATGAATTGTGGTGCCATGGTGTGGTTTGACCCCGACTGCCACTATGGTTCAGCCGCACCACCATGGGCTGTATGTACACGTGATATACGGTATAGAGTTTAGCTGAACCTCGCTATGTACATTATGCGTCCACCTTAGGACGGTATTGAGCGCGCTGGAAACGCGTACGGTCCACCTACTTCTGCCAAAGCATCAACGGTGCCTCGGAAGATGAGGACCTGCAAAAAAGGTTCGGTTCAAAGCTCCTGGTTGTGATTTGCTATGGCGCAGGGTATTTGCTACATATGCGCCTAGAAAAATCTGTGTGAGGGCACGACCTTGGCGAGCCTGACACTGATCAGGCCGATCAAGCTTGGTTCCCTCAGAGGTTGACGGCGTGTCACAACTCAATAAGTTTGCGAGACTTAGCTTCGCTCTGAACCAGCCTGTAGGAAGCCGTTCACTGTGCAATGGCTGCCCTTGCGGCCCGGCTAGTGACTGATACCGAATGCTGCCGTAGTTATCAAGAGATAGCGAAGTCAAACTCTCGTCACCAGATGCCAGCGTGGAACGCTTGTAGAGAAGAGAATTAAACTCTTGTAGCGAACAGCATCAAATCATTGTAGCCAACAGCATGGCCGAGCGAGCGCCGTCGCACTTTCCGCCGTTAGCAGCTGCGACTCCTCGTCGCCTCCGCCTTTCGCGCATGTCGCACTTTATTCTCCTGCTTCTCCTGCTTCCTTCGCCAATCCATTGCGACGCTCGCCGGGGTGGCAGGCCGAGAGGGCGGCAGCGGCCCGTCGACCCTCTCGCTCCGGGCGGCGCGCAGCACGCTCAGGCCGTCGCGCTTTTTAAGGTGCCAATCTCAGCCGCGGCGCTTGTTCGAGAGGGTTTTCGCCTTTCAGCACGAGTGTTGTGGCTTTCGTTTTCCAGCTAGCTTGAATATGCCGATTAGGGTTTCCTCACTCTACCCGTACCCCCTCAGGCATCGTCCTACATGCTCGGCCTCTCCACAGCACTCCCCACAGCAACAGTAACGCTGCCATTACTCCCCCGAAATCATGTTTCCAAGCAATTAGGGTTTCCCCTCGCTCAACCCGTTACCATTCAGGCATGGTCGTACATGTATGGGCTCGTCCCCCGGACTAACTACAGCACCAGCAGCAGCACCGATATCAGCGCCGATAGTGCTTCCGCGAAACCGCCTCTACTCCCCCCGAGAGCCCTCCGCCCTCCCCCGGGCTTCGCCTCAAGCGCATCCGCTGGCGGAGGGTCTGGGGGAAGCGGGGCGCGCGTTCCGCTGGCTCCGCACCTGGAGAACTGCGCGGCGCTGTCGCGCGCGCGGGAGGCGGCGGAGGTGCGCGGACCCGCGGGGGAAATGCCCGCCTGGGCGCGGCCCTCCAACTGCTCTGATTGGTCGCCGGATCCCCCATGGGTTGGTCATTGGGCAAGGGGGACTGGTGCGAGAGGGGGGGGGGAGGGGGGAGGGGGAGTGGAGAGGGGAGGGAGGGGGGAGGGAGGGGGGAAAAAGGAAAACATAAGGACCCCTTCGTTTACCCTCTGTTTTAACTCTCGTTTCCTTCTCCCACTGTTTCTCCCTCTCCTCATAACCCTCATTCTCCTCCCTCCCCTCATCCCCACACTCTCTCCGTCCCCTCATTCCCCACATCCTCCCCCTTACCCTCCAGATCCGGGGCACGGACGCAGCCAATCTGGCGATGACACGTGGCGTGCAGAGAGACCTCTGGGCACACCAGTTTCCGCCCGAGGGCTCCTGCTCGGGGGGGGAAGGCGCGAGTAAGCTTCTGGTGGTGGCGTGGCCGCCAGTGCAGGGCTTTGGCATTGGCGCGCAGCTGCACATCATGTCGGCCGCCCTCAGCCTCGCTGTGGCTTATGGAAGAATCTTGACGGTGTTGCCTGGGAGCTTCGAGCACGCTGCCCATGCTGCCTGCCGAGGTGAGCCCAAGCACATGCCTCATTAAGGGGCTTGAACCACACTTACCTACCATCGGCGCGCAGCTGCACATCATGTTGGCCGCTTTGACCGTCGCCGTGGCTTACAACCGTGTGCTTACAGTCCTGTCCGCCGTGCCACCATGCGCTTTTCATGCTAAGTTTGAGGCGCCTCGAAAATAGACTCCATGCGCTTTTCATGCTAAGCCCAAACCCCAGAGCCCTGCCATGGTGCCCCAAGCCCAAACCCCAGAGCCCTGCCATGGTGCCCACCTCTCTGCCTGAACTCTTGTATCAGGGTCCCTTTCTTTTTCTTCCCCCTTCTGGAGATTTTGTAGAATTCTCAAAAATCTCTCGCCTGAACTCTCGGATCGGTGTCCCTGTCTCTTCCCTCCCCTTTCTGTCTTTTCTCCCCTCCACTGATATAGACCACTTTACCCACCTCCAGATACAGGCCATCCCTCCTCTCTCTCCTGCTACTTCCTCCCCCCCTCCTCGCTCAAGTGCGAGAGGGCGGGGGCAGCAGCAGTGGCGGAGAAGAGAGCGCCGTACCCACCTTTAACTCATACTTCCCTCACCCTCCCTCCCCTTCCTCCCCCCTCCCCCCACCCAACCCTCACGGTCAAACCTCTCTCCCTTGTAGACGTCGGTCATCCCTCCTCTCTCTCCTGCTACTTCCTCCCGCCCTCCTCCCTCGAGTGCGAGAGGGCGGGGGCAGCAGCAGTGGCGGAGAAGAGAGCGCCGTACCCACCTTTTACTCACACTTCCCTCACCCTCCCTCCCCTTCCTCCCCCCTCCCCCCACCCAACCCTCATGGTCAAACCCCTCTCCCTTGTAGACGTCGGTCATCCCTCCTCTCTCTCCTGTTACTTCCTCCCCCTCTCCTCGCTCGAGTGCGAGAGGGCGGGGGCAGCAGCAGTGGCGGAGAAGAGAGCACCGTACGCGCCGCGCAGCTACGAGGAGATGAAATCCGCCCTTGCATCAGACGAGCCGGCGCTCTACATTGCGGCTAACTTCCCCTGGCCGCTTCGATTCAAGTTCCAGGCTGACGCTGCCAGGTACGGCCGATTTCCCCTTTCCCCTTTCCCCTGCTCCCTGCCGCCTGCCGCCTTCCACCTGCCCCCTGCCCCCTGCCCCCTGCCCCCTGGCCCCCAGGGTTAAAAAAAACGCCGTTTAAAAAAAAAAAAAAAAAAAAAAAAAAAAAATTACCGTATTTAACGATATCGAATTAAACGGCCGTTAAATACGAAAAAAACGGTGAGAATTGTGCAAAAATAGGTTGGTTAAAAAAAACGGCCGAAATATTTAAAAAAGTGCTCCGACGAAATGCGCGGATCTGGCATTTCGCCCGCCCAACTGCACGGATCTGGCATTTTTCTCACCAAGATTTGCCAGATCTTGCGTTTTTGGTGGACGAAATGTATGGATCTGACGTTTTGTCAGCCGAAATACGCAGATCTGACATTTCGCCCGTCGAAATGCGCGGATCTCGCATTTGGGCGGACGAATGGCGCGGATCTGGCGGACGATTAGGCTGTCTAGCCAAAAAAAAAAAAAAAAAAAAAAAAAAAAAAAAACTCTAATTAAAAAACGGCATTTTTTTCCAAATATCCCCGAAAAAAAACGGCCGAATAATATGGACCGTATTTTTCGAAAACCGTATTTTGAACATTGCTGCCCCCTGCCACGTACCCCCAACCGCCTGCCATTAGCAGAGAATAGATCGCCTGGTAAGGCTCCTGTGCTGTGCCCCTGTCCCCTTGCCAGTAGTTGAGAAGCGAGCGCCGTATGCAGAGCGTGGGCTCCTGTGCCCCTGCCCCCTTGCCAGTAGTTGAGGAGCAAGTGCCGTATGAAGAGCGTGGGCTCCTGTGCCCCTGTGGGCTCCGGTGCCCCTGTGGGCTCCGGTGCGCCGCGCAGCTACAAGGAAATGAAGGCCGCCCTCGTGCCCGACGAGCCCACGCTCTTCATCACGCCTTACTTCTCCTTGCCCCTGCGATGCAAGTTTCAGGCTCATGCTTCCTTGCCTGCCTGATAAGGCCGCTGCCAGGCAGGGCTCCGGCCCCCTCTTAATGCTCTGATTTCAGTGCCAGTCTAACAACCTCAAGGATGTCCATCCTCCCATCTTCCCATCTTCCCGTATTCCCATCCCGCCCTTCCCCACATCAGTCGATGGGGCGCGCCTTGGTACGACCGGCCAATCACAGTGCACCACGTGGGCGGTGTTCCTGCCATGTCAGACGACCTGCTAAAGGTACCTGCTCCTCAGAAGTAAAAGGTAGATTCGGCACAGGGCCACAACCTGCTGAAGGTACCTGCTCCTCAGAAGTAAAAGGTAGATTCGGCACAGGGCCACAACCTGCTAAAGGTACCTGCTCCTCAGAAGTAAAAGGTAGATTCGGCACAGGGCCACAACCTGCTAAAGGTACCTGCTCCTCAGAAGTAAAAGGTAGATTCGGCACAGGGCCACAACCTGCTAAAGGTACCTGCTCCTCAGATTCGCACGTCCCCTTTGTTCTCCTCCTCTCCATCCTCTTCCTGCTTTTGAATCGACTCAAAAGTCTCTCCGTCCTCTTCCTGCTTTTGAATCGACTCAAAAGTCTCTCCGTCCTCTTCCTGCTTTTGAATCGACTCAAAAGTCTCTCCGTCCTCTTCCTGCTTTTGAATCGACTCAAAAGTCTCTCCGTCCTCTTCCTGCTGTGTTCAATCCGTCTTTTTTTTTAGGCGCCTCCAAAATCATGTCAGACGACCTACCTACTGAAGGTGGTGCAGCTGGAGCTGCGGCCAGTAGGGTCGCTTCTTCTCTCCCCTACCTACCGACTACCTCTCTCACCCCCCACACAAACCAGTGCATCCTGGTATCAATCAAAACCTTCTGTTAATCCCCTGAAGCGCGAGCTTTCTCACAGTTCATTTTTGAGGCGCCTAAGAAACCTATCCCCTGATGCCCGAGCTCTCTCGGAACTGCTGCCTTGCAGAGCAGTTGCCACCACGGTTGAACCTTTGTGTAAGGGGCCTTCGTTCTCGCCCACAACGTGCACTGGAGCAGCAGCCAGCTGGTTCGCTTCTTTGCTCCCCTGCCTGCCGTCTGCCTCTGCCATCCCCAACACCAACTCCCATTCACCTTCGCCCTTCACCGTACCCCTCCTTGATTTCCAGGTTTTTGTAGAATTCTCAAAAAAACCAACGCCTGTACCTTATACCGTATCCCTTCCCCGTCATAGGTCCACTGGTGGCGAAGTCAGTCGGTGCGTTTCTTCCTTCGCTCCCCCACCGCCTACCTCTGCCATCTCACCAACGCAGCCCGCCACCACACCTACGGCTTCAGAGTCGCACTCTCTCTCGCCTCTGCTGCCGCCGCCAAGTCCGCTGCTCTTGAAATGCTCCGCGGCAGCAGGGGGGACGGCAGCGGGGGTGGGGGTGTGGGGATGGACGAAGCTTGGCTAGGTTCCCTAGCTGACGTGGATGGGGGAGTGGTAGCTGACAGCGATGCTGCTGGTGATGCTGGTGATGCTGGTGATGCTGGTGATGGTGGGGGTGATGGGGATGGTAACTCTTCTGGTGGTAACCGCATTAGCGGAGAAGGCAGTTCACGGGACAATAGTGACAATGATAGCAATGGCGATCGCAAGGAGGGTAGGGCCAGCAGCAGCACAGCACCTCACCTGTCTCTCATCTCCTCTCTATTAGAAACCTCCATCTGGATGTCGAATCCTGCAGCTGCCAGCGGCCGACTTTACGGCCCCAACTGTGCCAGCCATAGCCAAGGGGGAGGGGGGGAGGAGCCGGAGGAGGCAGCACAAGGGGAAGTGGTATCCTGGGCGGGTTTGTCTGAGGAGCCGTACCTGCCGCGGCCGATAGTGAGTGTGCATGTGCGGCAGGGAGACAAGGCGGGGGAGATGCGCCTGCTGCCGCTCAGGGCGTTTGTGGCTGCGGCGCAACACATGCGGCGGAATGCGCCCAACCTGAACCATGTTTGGCTCAGCACTGAAATGCAGGTGGGCTGGTTGTTGGGGGGTTTGAGAGGAGTGTGCGTGACGTATGAGCGTCAGCGGGACAAGGTGGAGGTACAAGGGGGGGGGATAAGGCAGGGGGATAAGGGGGGGGGACAAGGCGGGGGGACAAGGCAGGGGAAATGTGGCTGCTGCTACTGAGGGCATTTGTGGCTGCAACACATGATTTGCAACACATGATTTGCAACACATGATTTGCAACACATGATTTGCACCACATGATTTGCACCACATGATTTGCACCACATGATTTGCAACACATGATTTGCACCACATGATTTGCAACACATGATTTGCAACACATGATTTGCAACACATGATTTGCAACACATGATTTGGAATGCGGCCAACCTGAATCATATCTGGCTCAGCACAGAGGTGCAGGTGGGTGGCATGTGAGGGGAACACATAACTGACTCGTATCTTGCAATGATTTGCTGGCAATGATTTGCTGGCAATGATTTGGAGCACATAGATCCATTGCTCCTATCTCCCTGACTCTCCACCTCTCTACCTCCTTGTCCCACTCCCTGATGGGGGCGTCCCCAGCAGCACTTGCGTTAAAATTCCTATCCACACAGAACCCAACACAAGAGGCGATGCCATGACCATGCACGAGTGGAAGGCTGCTTGTAACCCGTGCAACGAGGCTTCCCTGCGTCCGCGATTGCCTGTTCTCCCCTACTTGATTTTTTAGTCGACTCAAAAATCACCTACGTGACTTTCCTGCGTCCCCGACTGCCTGTTCCCACCCACTTCCTTCCCTGCGGAGCGTGGTGGAGGATGCTCGGGAGCAGCACCGGGATCGGACATTCCTATTCATCCAGAAAGCGCGGCGGCACGAGGGGGCGATGACCATGCACAAATACAACCCCTGCCTTGGGTTCTATTCATGCAGAACCCAAGGCAGGAGGGGGCTGAGAACATGCACAAATATGAGGCTGCTTTTTACCCTTCCTAAATGCGTTACCCCACCCCCTCATTGCCTGTTCTCCCCGTGTTCGCTCCTTACAGCGCGTGGTGGAGGAGGCGAAGGAGCAGCACCGGGATTGGACCTTCCTGTTCACGCAGAACCCGAGGCAGGAGGGGGCCATGACCATGCACGAATACGAGGCGGCAGTGGGGGCGGATGTGCTTGTGGGGCTCAGCTTTGTCAACCTCATTATAGCGTCGCAGTGCGATTATTTTGTCGGTACACTTGGGTCGAATTGGAACCGGCTTATAGATGAGCTGAGATGTACTAATGGCCGCTTGTTTAGTGGGTACTTGGCATTGAACCATGGTCAGTGGAGATAATATGGTGTATCATTCATTGCCATATTATAAATTCATTTTATTACTACAAAAAACAAGGCATAAGATTTAGGGTTCATTCATCAGAACTGTAAGCAGTTGAGGGCTAATTTCAGATCCCATCAGCCTTGTCATAACGAACCAATCCCATAAACCTACATTTGATTCTGTACATTTAGCCAAGCCTACTACGGTATGGTACAGTAATTGCACAAAATAGAGCAAATTCCTATCCACTACACTACGTAACGTAGGGCATGCTCTGCGTTACCAATTTCTACCATTCCCCTCTGCCTGTCTCCTTTATCCACCCATCATTCCTCCCCTTGCCGTACTTCCTTCTCATCCCCTCCCTCCTCTATCCCTTCGACCCCCAAACCCGCCTCATCCCTCCCCCCTGATCCACTCTCTTCTCCCAGTAGTGGTGCATCCAAGTCCTCCACCCCCACCAGACAACTGCCCTCCCCCACACTGCCCTCCTCCACACTTCCCTCCTCCACACTTCCCTCCTCCACACTTCCCTCCTCCACACTTCCCTCCTCCGCACCGTCCTCCTCCACTTCCGCAAGCCAATCAGCTCCTGCCACGTGTCCTCTCCACAGTGCCAGCTCAGCTTCGAGAGCCCTAACCTCCTCCTGCTTCTGCTCCAGCAATCTTCTCAGCAACCCCACCTCCTCCTCTTGACTCTCTAGCACCGCTCTCAACTCCTCCATCTCCTCCTTATCAGATAACACCTTCTGCTCCAAAATCCGCTCTCTCTGGGCGGCGCTGCCGGCCGCACGCTGGGCGGAAGCTTTGTCCTGTTGCAGCTGGTGAATCAAATCCATGCTCGCCTGGGCGGCGCTGTCTGCCGCCGCCCGCTCCTGCTCCAGCTCGCGGCGCAGCGAATCAGAGAGCTCCGTTTCGTGCTCCAAGGCGCGGCGCAGAACCAGCAAATCGTCCTCCTGCCTCTCCTCCCCCTCCTTGCCTTCCTCTTGCTCCTCCTCCTCCTCCCCCTCCTCCTCCTCCTCTTCGCCTTGGACAAAAAGCTCATTGTCAAGCGAGGTTCGGCGAGAAGCCCGGGAAGAGGCTCGTCGGCAGGTTCGGAGAGAGGAACGGTAGGAGGGTTGGTGAGGCGCGAGGGAGAGCGGGCAAAACGGAGAGTGTAGATGGTTTTGGGTGTGAGGGTGTAGTTGCCAGGCATGTGGTGGCGTCTCATGGCTTTTGAAACGGCTAGAGCCCTTCTCGTGACTGCTGTGACAGTATGAGATCTCCGCATCGCTGCCGTGACTGTGAATGTACGGGGAGGCGTCACGCAAGTCTGGGAGAAAGAGAGGCTTCTGCTGGGAGGCACACGGCGACCAATCGCATGAGCCCTCAACCAAGCTTCCACGCCGATTGCCAGCCCCGTCCGCGCTATAACAATCAAACCCCGCCGGTGACGGATTTCGACGCTCCTCGCCCCTCTCTCTCTCTCCGAAATCTCTCTTGCTCGTGTTCCGAGGAGTGCCTCTCTCCTTCCCTTCCAAAGCCTTGCGCAGCGTCACCATCCCTCCTCTGCTTCCCTCCTCCTCCTCATCCCCCTCCTCCTCTTCCTCCTCCTCCTCCTCCTCCTCCATCCCTCCTCTCCTCAGCTCCACACTCACCACCTCCTTGTTCTCATCCTCTCCCAAGTGCTCTCCCTCCAGATTCCACCCTGAGTTACCCTTCATCTTACCGTAACCAGACACTTCTTCTTCCGCGGCGATATCTCTCCTTTGCACCTCAACAGCCATCGACGATCCCTGTGGCTTCTCCCTTCGACCCGTCAAGTCGTGATCCTTCTCCTGCCCCTTCTCTGCCTCTCCCTCCCCTTCCACCACCACACCTGACATCCTCCTCCTCCTTCCTCCTTCCCTATCGCCTGCATCCCGAAGCCTCCTTTTTTGTTCTCTCCCGATACCTAGTCTCCGTCGCTCCTGCCCCTGACAGCTCAGCAATACGCGATACAGAGCCGCCTCCGCTATACTGCGACAGGCCATCTTAGCGCGTCGCAGCCGCAGTCCTCCATCTTCTGCTTTCTCTCCCAATGACGGGCGTGGCACTAATGAGCGTGACAATAGCGGGTGTGAGCGGCGGAAGCTCACACGGCTGGTCGGGACATTCCGCTGACCTGACGCGGGTCGTAAATCCGAACCTCGAGGCTTGGAAGCTGGCGTACAAGGCTCGGAAGCAGCAGGAAATCTTAAAACGGAGGCTTCAGGAGTTGATGGGATGCTGCAACCGCCACGACACGTGGCAGAATGACACGTGGCCGAATGACACGAGGGCAAATGGGCGGCTCGGAAGATCAGTGCAGCTGCGAAACCGAGAAGAGCTCTGGCGAAAACGAAGGCGACGAAGACGAGGTTACGCAGTTCGCTGACAACAGGATGAGGTGACTCGTGGACGACTGCCGTGGCGAAAAACGCCAGCGAGTAGAGGATGGCTGCCGCCATATCCAGAAAACGAGCCAACACAAAAAGCTCTTCAAGAGAGGAAACGTAGCAGGGCTCGGTTCAAAAGCCAAGCCAAACGACGCAGCTAGAACCTGGGTAAAGGGATATGCTGAAGCTGTGTGCTGTTAGGTGACGGAATTATCAATGGAGGGCAGTAAGGTAAAAGCATGGCTGCGAGGGGCATGGCTGACAGGAGAGCAGAGCATGGCATGGCATGGCAGGTAAAAGGGGGGAGAGAGGAGGAGGAAGTTTGGTTTGAATGCCCAGGCTTACCGCCATGTCATCCGAACCGAATTGGACTGGCTCGGTTCGGGCGTGGTACAAATGGCCGGGGTTCAGCGTCCACTAGAAACCCTTCCACCAGACCGGCTTGCATGGTTTCGTAGGGTAAAGAGGCTTTACAGAACGTTAAAGTGAGTTTTAGTGCGGTCAAACCTGAACCTTCGGCCCATGGTTTCTGGGGTGCCACAGCGAATGCATGGTTCTCCTTAGGCTACGCTGGAGGTTTGGGACGAGGCATGTGAGCTGTGGGCGTTATGAAGGCCTGGTTTGGTTGGATTTGGTGCTCCGTGGCATGCATGCTCTGGGCACATTCTGTTTGTACAGAACTGTTTATGGGTGCATGGGTCTTGTGGGGTTTGGCACACGCCACCACCACGCTAAGCTACATGTGCAGGGTTTTGGAAGTTAGTGATTCGTGCGGCAATTTCTGCTGCTGTTGCTGCTGTGGCGTCAGATGACTCGGAGCCGAGTCTAGCTTCAACCTTGCCATGAGAGGTATGGTACGAACACGTAGCGACAGTGTTACGCGATTGGTTGCTGGTTTGTTACGCGACACCAAGCGGGAAACCAGGCATGGCACCAGCTCCGGGACAGCTGGGCCAGGCGAAACGAAACGTGAGCGGAGTTCGCGGCACCAAACCAAACCGAAGGGGGCTCAGGTTTGTTCGGGAAAGGCTCCGCCAGATGTTGAACCACAACAATTTCGTCTTACAACTGTACGCGATCAGCGGGACTACACCAAGTGTAATGAAGTGCAAAGAGCGTGTGTAGAAGGATTTATTAACGAGGAAACAATACAACTTAGGCAACATCAAAACAGCAAAGAGCATGGATATAGCTAGCCTAGGAGCACACGGTTGTAGCTCGGCAGAGCTGAGAAATGTGTAAAATAATAAACATATTATATATATATTTGTTTATGCTTGGTACATATGTTACATTCTTGGATTCTACAGTAGAGGGAACAACCCCACCTTGTATCTCTTCCTCTTCCTAGTCGTTCCCCCCTTTTCTCTCGTCCATTTCTCTCTTACCACCTAAAACCTCTCGGCATTTCTCATATGCCTTATTGTACAACAACCAGGCCCCAAATTAGCTGGGTGAAATGCCCAGATTACCTTGATTTTTATGGGTTTTTTTTTTGCTTGGTCTTAAAAATCAGACTCACAAATATTTTTAGGCTGGTCCAAAAACTGTAGTGAATTCTTCACCCTGACGAAAACAGAGTTGCGGGACCCGGCACCCTGAGTCTTCAGGATGTCATCGATGTCATGATACACGCTAGGGTTGCCCTTGGTCATCGGGGAAGGGTCACAGGTGCACAGCCTGGGGGGTTATGGGCGCATTAACCCGCTACTTAACAAGCCCTTTTAACCCAATGGTTAGTGAGTGGGTTTCGGATATGGTATTGGAGGTGGCCACCGGGGTTCAATTCTCTGTGTGCACCGGAGAGGTGGCAGCGCAGCAGAGGCACTTGTGTCTTCCGCCTACACAAGCGAGGGGGGGTGTCATGATACACGCTGGGGTTGCCCTTGGTCATCGGGAAAGGGTCACAGGTGCAGAGCCTGGGGGGTTACGGACGCACTAACCCGCTACTTAACAAGCCATTTTAACTTAGTGGTTAGTGACTGAGTTCTGATACTCGAAACTACCTTGATACCAAAACTCTGACATTCCGGCTAGGTCCCCCACAAACAAAAACATCCCTCCCACCCGTCCTGCAAGTCAGAAATTTCGGCGAAGTCCCTCGCGCCCGAAGACAATCCTCCCACACACCCTAGAACCCTGGAATTTCGTGAAGTCCTTAGAGACATCCCTACAACACCACCCACAACCAATACGAAATAACGAAGTCCCCCACAAGAGACACTCTCCCCACACCCCATGTAACCATTTTTTTTGTTTTTTTGTTTTTGTTTTTTTTTAAGTCCTCGACACAACAACCAGACGCATGTCCCACCACACCCAATCACGAGCATGTAAAAATTTCGTGAAGCACCGCATTCCACTTCGAACTCAAAACAGAACTTGCTAAGAATGGCAAGAGTTAGACAGGGTGCAAAAAAATTGACACTTCCAGCTAAGAGTTCGATTTTTTTTACCCTGCCAAATCAAACTTCGAAAAAAACATTACGCTAGACGTCAGGGTAAAAGTTTTTTAGTACCCTGATTCCTAAGAGTGGCCTAAAACCAATTTTGGGCCCTGCCAAAAACGCGTGGTTCGTAAGGCTCCGAGCTCCATCTCAGAGTAGAAAGGTAACTAGAATTAGGCATGCATGTTGATTTTGTTCAAATGGTTGTACCCTCTAAAAGCATGCACCTATCTAGCATATAATAACATATACAAATATGTTTGACTCACCCCATAGGCCAGATGAGGGGCAGGGCCTGGAAATCGACACACAGCTCAGGGTGGCACTACTAGTCCTGCCTATGAGGCAAGGTTCCGAAGACCAATCAGCAAGAGTACAAGCTAAACAAGAGCAACCCAGGACGGTACTACTAGTCCAGCCACTAGGACAGGAGCCACAAGACCAGTCAATAGAATATATAAAGAGTACACAATCGGGGTACTACCAAGTGAGAAGCCACATGAACTAGACCAAGCTGCAAACAGTACCGCTGATGATCTCTAGGCGTAAAGATATCAGCTGTGTTGAAACCGGAGGCCAAGTGTACTATGCGGGCCTAGCGACGCTGCTGCAACTCGTGCAGGAGAAAGTACCGCAGCTGGATGTGCTTCGCTCTGCGCTTGAGTTTGGGCTCCTGACACAGGAGGATCATGGCCCTGTTGTTAGTGTACAGAACCGGGGCAGAGTTAGGCTGCTCACCTAAGTCGGCGAACAAGAAGGTCAGCCAGCAGAGCTCTTGTGCCTCACTGGACCGCACTGCACCGCACTGCATCGCTCTGCACCGCACTGCACTGCCCTGCATCGCACTGCACCGCACTGCCCTGCACTCCAACGTCCTACACTGCCCCTGATGGCTGCTGAGCTTCGTTTTGATGCTGAGGGTCAGCCTCTGGAGTTCGAGGCGTGGCTGGCTGACCTTCGCCGCCACCTCACTGGTCAGCGGCAGGATGGCCACCCGCTTTCCGCCCACCTAGACGGTATGCTCCCCTGCCCTGACCCCCCTGCTGTGCTGCCCGCTGATCCCACGCCCGCTGAGCGCGAGTCCACTGCCGCCGCTGCCCTTGCCCGCTCTGTCTGGCTTTCCCGCGATGCTCTTGCTCAGCTCGCCATTAGCAATGCCCTCCCCCCCCCTGAGCGCCCTCGCTTTAGAACCATTACTACCGCCCAGGCCTACCTCGATGCTGTCATCAAGCGCTATTCTACCCCTCCTGCTGCCTCAGTGGGTCGCCTGATCCTCCCCCTGCTCTTTCCTGACCTTGCGTCTTTCCCCACTGTCTCTGACCTAGCTGCCCACCTGTGCTCGATAGATGAGACCTGGCGCGCTGCCTGTACTGATGCACAGCTTAGAGCCCACCAGCCCCCCATGACCTCTACCCTCTACCTCCTTGCCACTCGCCTCCCTGACCGCCTTGCCGCCGCCCGCGACCAGTTCCTTAGCATCCACCCCGCTGCGCTCACCCTCACCGACTTTGTTGACACCCTGACTGTTATAGAGACTCGTCACCGCTCCATCGCCCAGGCGAGCGGTACCGTACCGGTCCCTATCTTTCAGGGTTGTGCCCCCGCTCAGTGTACCTTCTCCGACGGCTCTGTCGCTGTGGCTGAGACTGCTGCTGCAGTGCAGTCCCGCTCGGGGAAGGGCCGCCACCCCAAGGTTGGGAGCGGCGGAGGCGGCGGGGGTGCAGGTGGGGGTGGTGGTGGAGTCGGGTCGTCCGGTGCCAGAGCGGACGTGGGGACCCTGCCCAGTCCAGCTGCCCCGCTGCCTCCACAGTCGCAGCAGCATGCAAGGCTGCTACAATGGCATCCATGTCCAAGTCAAAAATCTGAATGCTACGCCTAAGCAAGCTGTGCCAGTCCGGGAGGTCGGGCGCCGGGCCAAAGCGCTGACGGAACAGGTCGTCCAGACGACGAAAACAGCGAGGAGTGGAATGACCGATCTTACCGCAAACGAAGCCGCGGCGAGGACCGGTCTGGATCTGGTACTGACAGCGCCCGCCTCCAGAACCACCACCCGGCGCACCACCACGCGCACGACCACCACCAGCTCCAGGCCACCCAGGCGGGAGGGCACTCGCCTGCCTCGTCTGCGGCGGGTGCTGCAGCTGCTGCGGAGGCTGCGGCTGCGGCGACTGCTGCTGCTGGTGTCTTTCTAGGCTTCTCTGTTGAGAATAGCCCTTATCCTGCAAAGGTTGCAGAAGTCTACTGAAGCGGCATATCAACGAAGTATGCGGACACAAGCCCTGCAGAAAGGCCCATTGATGAAGAGCAGATTTGTCAACAAAGCGAGGCTCTACGGGAAGTGGCAGAGGAGCAGTTTTCGTTGGTGGCAGAAAAACGATTCTGTCGGAATGGCAAACAGGAGCGCTTTTTTTTCATATGGCTTCTACATCGACATGTGCTTTTATAGAAGCGGTCTTGGCAGAACCGAGAGTGTACAAGACCCTCTGCTGAATTGGCACCAGGGGCCATTCGCAGAAGGGTTGTCCTCTGCCGAAGTATCGTGCAGAAGACATTTCTACAGGTGACCCTTTCGGCAGAATCGACTCTCGGAAATGCGTTCCAACAGGACCTCGGGCAGAGTGGCGCAAGGACCTGCTCGTGCAGAATTGCGTTATGCCGAAGTTTGGCAGAAAGTCAATTCGGCTATCTCTTCTGTTGTCGACCCCCTCGGCAGAGACGAAATTCGGCAGAAGCCCGACAGAGAGTCATCTCGGACTTCGCTTCTGCGAGCGACCCCTTCGACAG